AGTCCTTCCCGAAGGTACACACTTGGTCAAAGAAGGCGACTGACCACCACCATCACCACCCTTCATAGAGAACGACTGTTTCCTCAGCCAAGGATATATGAGTAGCCACACTCCCTTGCTCGAATCTCCAAGCTCTCCCAAAGCAGCAGGCCATGTTATTAAGTGAAAGATCATGTGGATGCTCAACACAGAGTTGTGCCTGGGATGTTGGAGTAGAGATGTCAAGTAGGGAGTTGACTGTGTGAGTCTGGAGCCCTGGACAAAAGTTAGAGATGGAAATGTGGGTTTGGGATATATTTAACATCATAAGACAAATGAGATCAATGAGAGAGTTGGCGGGTGGGGAGGAGGCTCCCGGACACTCCAGGGTTAGAGACAGGGCCACAGGGAAGGTAGAAAGAGCAGACTGCAGAGAGAAGAGAGCACGGGAGTCTCTGGAGTGGAAGGAAGAGTGTGTTTCAAGGGGAAGTGGCAGAGACCCATCGACCGAGGGCAGTGAACGCACCACTACCCGATTTGGTGCAGATGAGGGAGCAAGGCTGGGACTGACACGGCCCCCCTAGCAACGGGGCCTCCCAGATTGCTCATGAGGACAATGAGGGCCACAGGGGAGACAGTGACCTGCCTGAGATCAGACCTGCATAGCCCAGGGCCCCATGCTTTACCTGCCTAACACCAGCCTTTTCCCTTAGGCCACAAGCTGGACCTTCAGGCCTCAGTTTTGTACTGGTAATTCCCCTGCAAAGGATTACCAAGTACCCACTGTTGCTGCAGAAAATCCTGGAAAACACACTTCCTGATGCCAGTGCCTACCCTGTCCTTCAGAGGGCAACGTCTGCCCTCCAGGACGTGAATGCCAACATCAATGAGTACAAGATGCGCAAGGAAGTGGGTAAGAACTTGGGGCATTTAGGGGTTGCGTCAGTGAGAATGCTTCCAGTTACAAGAGGCTGGTAGCACACCAATAAAGATGCTGTGGCATTTGTAATTATACACTCAGAGGTCATATATGCTTTAGGTTTAATTTGATCAAGATTGTAGCTTCATTTTCCTGTAATTCTCTTGTCCCTGCTTTTTATAACAGCTTGCTTCATCATCAAGCTGGTTTCCCTCAGAGTACTAAGTGACTATTGTTCTAAAACTCATGTCTATACACCATGCGCTCTATGGTAAGATAGGGATTTTTCCCCCTTTGCTAGAAAAACTGAATTGGTGCCTCATTGTATGAAGACCAACAGGCTGTGTGCTCTCCATGAAGTTGTCACTATGGTTAGGAAACCACCATGGACTGATTAGCTTAGGCCTGCACATGCACTCAACATTACTGAACCAGCCAGTGTTGCCAGGAGGGCGGGTTTCTATGGATCGGTCTATTCCAGTAAGCACCTATCCTGTGAGCCAAAGTGAGGCCAACTTTATCCAAACTGTGTGGCTGCTACAGTGTGGAGGAAAAAATGAATACTGGAGTGGGGCAGAAGGGAACCCTGTCTTTTCTGTTGCTGCAATAGAAAGAGTTGGAAAATGGAGCAGTGGCCCAAGTATAGAGACACTTAGCTGCACACAGTCAACATGATAATGATAATTTAGCTGGTATTTCCTTTTCAAATTATTATTTTAGTCATACAAATATTTGTGGGGTACTGTGCTAATTCAACACATGTATGCAGTATATAGTGATCAAGCAGGTTGATCGGTCATTGTTGTTAAGGAAGTAACTGAGAGTATTTCTTTTGTTTTTTTAGTTGACCCTTGTGCTGGGCTGGGGAGATAGCTCAGTAGAATAAGCACCTGCCTGGCAAGTGCAAGGTCCTAAATTCAATTCACAATACTGGAAAAAAAAAATCAGTTGACGCTTGTGCTAAGCCTCTGAGGTTGGCCTTGTTAACCCCATTTTGCAGTTGGGTAAATGAGAGCTAACATCACCTGTTACTGGTCACAGCTGGTAAGGGCCAGAGTGAGGATTCACACTGAAGCTTGGGGTCTTCATCACCATGCCACACGATATTTGGTGTCTCTCGGTGTGCTTGTTTCTCTACCTATGATGACAGGTATCAGATAAGTAGGAAGCATTGTGACAGAGCTAAAAGTGACCAAGGACTCCCAGACAAATCGCTACTCTCTGGGACTTCCTTTATGGTGTCTCTTCCTCTTCACATCTACAGCCTTATGTAATCCTCCCTGCAAGGTGGCCAGCCTCACTTTACAGATTAGCAACCTGAGGAGGAATGGTGCCATGCCAAGGTCAGGCAGGTGGGGAGCTCTCACCTGCAGTGGAGGGCACTGAGCAGTGAACTTTCCCTATGTGACTCCCCATTCTGATGACAGATCCTGATGGAGCAGAGGGACCGGCAAAGTGTGTCAGGGATGCTGGCTGTCCTGGATCAGCCCTGGTCACTGAAGGTGCCCTCCCTCTCCTATGTTGGTGCAGCCTCCAAGTACACCAAGGTAGAGCAGCTGACCCTCCGGGAGCGGCTGGCCCGAATCAACACACACACCCTCTCCAAGAAAACGACCCGGCTAAGTCAGATGCTGAAGCAAGAGGCCGGGCTGGTGCCCAGGGTGAGCATGGCTTGGGTGAGAAGTCACCTCAGATCCTCCCAAGGGTCCAGAACCTATGCAGTAGGCAAGGTGGGAGACTGAGGCTCCTTTCTGAAGTGAGACACTTGAGGCTGAGATAATAAGGTGCCCAGAAGAGACCCCACTTGTTCCTGAAGAGGCAATGTTAGCCCCTCTTAGGCTACAGATAAGACAGCTGGTCTCTAGGGTTGTGTAAACAGAGCTACTAGTAGCAGTTCAGGTTGAATTTTTTCTTGCAAGCCAGAGTTATGGGTTATGGAATCCATACAATGAAATTGGTGTTATTATCTTCATTTTGCAGATAGATGAGAAAGTAGGTGGTGTCTGATTCCATGATCCAAATGAAAAACCACTGAGCCACACTGTCTTTTTAACTATCCCACTCAGTTTTGTGGCTGGAAGAATGAGCTCTGGCAGACAAGTCTGTGGAAAGCTGGTCCCCAGTGAGGACTTGGATGTGGGAGCTGGTTGTGCACTGCCCCCGTGTGGATCCTCTCAGCCCTCACATGCAACACTTCTCTTTCAGACAGAGGACAAGGAATTTGATGATTTAGAGGAGAGATTCCAATGGGTGTCTCTGTGTGTGACTGAGCTGAAGAACAACGTGGCTGCTTACATGGATAACTTTCAGGTGAGGACCCTGCAGATTTCATAAAGGGCAGGTCTGGGCTGTTGGCCAAGTTCACACATTGTGGAGGCCCCAGCCACAAGGCATTGTGGGTGAGTCACCCAGCCAGTTGACTGCCCAACACCCTCCCCCCAATGCCATCACTCAAGGGCAGGTCCACTGGGTTGGGTCACAAATCACTGGGCTCACATCCCCTTCTCCAGGGATCAGCACCTAGAACCAGGGAGACAAACTCAGGTGCCAGAAGATTCCAGGCAAGTAACTTCCCTACTGAGTAGGGTGTGCAGGGAACAGGCAGCATGACAAAATAGGAGCTTCACCTCTGACAGGCTGTTTAGGAAACATGTTCAGCAGACTCATGTGTGATATTTGAAATTCAGATAGCTGAATGATGTAAAGATGTAAGGAAACCATTACTATTTGACTTTGGGAGACTGTCACTCTGCGGGAATGTGGGCCTGTCATGACCACTTCTGATTAAAAATAATAGTAACAGCAACAAGACCCTGGAAGCCCAGAGTTTTAGGTGGAATATCTTGATGTGTCAGTGTGAGCAACTAGTTAAGTAAAAATTCAAATGCTGTGCAGGAAGATACCGTTCGTCAAAGTGAATTCTGCCCACAGGGCCACCAGATTGTGTCCACCTAGGATGTCACTTTTCTGGGCCACAATCCCAGCTCCATCCTTGTCATTGTGGTGACTCATTACACACACACACACACACACACACACACACACACACACACCAGGGGTGAGGCTGTCAGTCACATCCACTTGCACAGACCAGCTGGGTCCAGGATGATGGAAACTGGGTGGCACTACGGGAAACAGGCAAAAAGGAGGTGGTGATGGGTCTCTGCCCCTCCGTGCATGAGGGTCAGCACCCCTGTTTATGCATGTGCTGTCCAAGGTTCAAGATTCACAGAGCAGGATCTTTTTTTTTTTTTTTTTGCAAAACTGGGGATTGAACTTAGGCCCTTGTGCTTGCCAGGCAAGTACTTATTCTACTGAGCTATCTCCCTGGCCCCTCAGAGCAGGATCTGAACAGCCAGGATCTCACTGTAGCACAGTGAGCAGGAAGAGGAAGGTGTTCTGAGATCACTCATGCAAAAGGAGGGAGGGACTTGCAGGTAGTGGGAAAGAAATGAGGACATTTGTCAAGCAGGTGAGTATTTGGAAGCACTGAGGCTGTATTTCCTTAGATACAGATACATTGTTGACATGAAATTCCAGAGTGAGAAATTCCTGTTTTCGACTTTCTGACCAAGTCAAGAAAAGCCTCTGAGCTCATGTGTTTTCAATACTTGCAGACCAAGTAGCAGGGTGTGAGTCTTCAGCAAGCTGTGGGGCCCAGGTGGAATTTAATAACTTGTTTTGGTTCTATGGCAATTATTTTCACATGCCTGTCTATGGCAGATATTACTAGTTTTTTTTTTTTTGTGGTTTGATCATAGGGTTTTTTTTTAATGTATTGATTTAAATTGGAATCGTTGATTTAAAGAAAAAGTATCAGTATATGCAGAATGTGGAAGTGGCAAAAAAAACAAACAAACAAACAAAAAAAACACAATAATGCCACAGTACGCTGACATGTGAAGTGAGGAAGCCTGCAAGGCAGGCACTGGGACATTGGCTCATCTAGGGAGAACCCACGCATGTTGTGCAGGAGGGAAAAGGCTGTGTGCTTCCTGGGCACAAGAGTGTGCACAGAGCCTGGAGGCCCTTGCTGGGGCTCTGCTGGAGGGATTCAGGTGGAAGGTGACCCCTGGCTGCATGTTTCCTGGCTCTACCCCAGGCTTTCCTTCACTTCCGGCCTCATGAATGTGACCTGGACATTCCCAGCGGGCCTGCAGTGCAGTATTGCAGCCTGGCTAGAGACCTCCAGCGCGAGGCCTTCCTGGAGTTTGTGAGTAGGACTTTTCCTTCCTACTTTCTGTGTCAGGCAGATGGCAGAGCCCACACGAGTACTATTTAGAAGCCAGGCACCTTATACAGTTGTCACATCCATAACCACTTTAGGTAGTGTTCGGTGTTAGTGTGGGATAGGGGTTGGTATTAGTGTATTTTCTGGTAAATAGCCCACTAGTGTTTGTGGGGTCATCCTCTGCCAGGTACCACGCTGAGCCTTTATACTCTTTGCCTCATTACTCCTCACCACATGCCTTTAGGGAGCTCCTGTTAACAGCTCCATTCCTCTACTACTCAAAAGGTAGCTTTTTTTTTTCCCCCTCTGTATTCTAGGGAAGGGTCTACAGGGTGTTCAAGGTCTCACTACTAGATCGGACTCATAGAGATTCTTCTGTTTACAGCCTCCCAAATGCTGGGTTTGCAGGTGTGCACCACCACGCCCAGTCTCAATTGCCCTCTCAAGGTGCCCTGGGAGTGGGGCCAGGGGTGGGGCCAGCAGAGCAGGCCTAGGTATAGAGCCCCAGGCCCCTGCACCTGCTTACAAGTGCTTTAATCCACTGAGCTATTTGGCCAACCCTCTCAAAAGGGAGCTTAATGCTTAAAGAGTGAGACCTCCTGGGTCCTTTCTACAGAGGGTTGGTGGTCCACAGAAGCCTGACTCCCAGACTCTGCTTTTGACCACTGGTCAATGCAGAATCTTTTTCAAGGTCTTTACATCTTTGACTATATTTGTACCCAGTGATAGAACATTTCCTAAAATGGTAAAGGCATTGGATTCAATCCCTAATATTTCCAAAAATAAAAGTTTTGCATATTACTGGTACTAAGAAGTGGCATAACTGAGCACCTCCCTTGCACCAGGCAGTCTTGGTGAACTTACTGCAAGCCATCTGTGTTTTTGTTTGTTTGTTTCTTTTCTTTTTTCTTCTTCTTCTTCTTCTTCTTCTTCTTCTTCTTCTTCTTCTTCTTCTTCTTCTTCTTCTTTTTGTTTTTTTCTGGTGCTGGGGATTGAACTCAGGACCTGGTGCTTGCCAGGCATGTGCTTAAGCCATTGAGCTATCCTCTGAGCCCTCCATCTGTGTTTGGACCAGAAGCTGGAGGCCTGGAGAGGTGAGGTGACATGCTGCAGGTCATGTCCAGTCAGTGGAGTGGGGACCAGGGCAGAGGCAGGCCACCCTCAGCGCCCCTTCTCCAAGCCCTGCACTCTGCCACCTCCTTTCCTGGCTCCCCAGCTCCCCTCTTCCCACAGAAGCAGCGGCTGGAAGGCCTGGTGTGGCGGCCACTGCTGAGCCTGGCCAGAGCCCTGGCCGGTCCTCAGAACCTGATCAAGAAGCGTCTAGATAAACTCTTGGACTTCAAGAGGCTAGAAGAGAAGCTGTTGGAAGTGGGCAGCATGACCTATGAGGAGGAGGCAGCGCGGCACACATACCAAGCCCTCAATGCCCTCTTAGTGGCTGAGCTCCCACTGTTTAACCAGCTGGTGGTGCAGTGGCTGAGCCAGATCCTGCGTACTTTTGTGGCCCTGCAGAGAGACCTTGCAAAGCAAGTGCTACAGAGGGCAGAGGGCAGCATAGCCCAGGTAAGACAGCTGAGACGGCGGCATGCCTGGGGCATCTTCTGCCAGGTATGTGCAGGAGTGGGAGGTAGGGAGGTTGAGCCTTCCAGATCTGCTGTCTGGGGCCCAGGAGGAGATAGTGATGAGGGGCTTCTTCTTCCTTTAATGAAGTTGGACCATAAAAGCTAGGGTAAGACTAGGACTCCAGGCCCTCCAGGTTCTGGAACTCGGGAGATCAGAAGGCTTTGCTGGAGAAACAGCAGACTTGGAACCCGTCCCTAGAGTATCCTGCAGGTTTGTGACAAGAGGTACCTTTCTACACAGGAGTACAGTAAATGTTGCAATCTCGTGTTACTTCTGCCAGATATCTCCTTGGAAGCATAGCTCCGAATTTGTTTGGAGCACTTCCTACATTATTATTATTATTATTAATAGTAGTAGTAGTAGTAGTGGTAATAGTAGTAGTACTAGGGATCGAACTTGACCTTGCATTTTCCAGGCAGGCACTTAAGCCACTGCGCTATCTCCCAGGGTCTACAATTATTTTATTTACTGTTCACCATAACATTGTAGAGTAGGTAATATTGTCCTCCTCATTGCAAAAATAAAGAAGCCAGAACAAAGCTCAGAGAGGCTGAGTAGCTTGTGTAGGGCCACACAGCTGATAGTGGATTTTGAACCCTGTCCACAGAACAGACCCTGTTTCAGAGCCTGGGTTTTGCTGAGAATCTTCAACAGCGTGTAGAAGGAGCTGTCAGCTGAAAGCATAAATAAATTCCAGAGAGCTTTGGATAAACCTCCATATGCCCTAAATTTGCAGTTTAGAATTTTGAAGATTCGAATTCATACAAGGACTAGCAAGCTGCCCTCCTGTTCTGGGGTGTCAGCATCCAGTGGAAGGGCCCAGGCGCAGGGCATGGGGCAGCCGCAGTGCTCTCTCACCCCGCCTGCTGTCTCCTGTGTTTCTCACCCCTGCTCTTGGCCACCGCATTCTTGTGCATGAAATCTCCTGCAGGATTTCCTCCCTGGCCCCCTCACCTTTCCAACCTGCAGCCCTCCCTCCAGCACACAACTTCTGAGCATAACCTCATCCCCTTTGCAGGAATTCCTCCTAGCCTGAAATGCCTCCCTGCGGGTCGAGTCTGACAAAGGCTAACAGAGGAATGAGTCCTTCCACAGAGCTCTCTGAACACCCCTTCTGGGGAGGGTGCAGGAGAGCCCATGGGCCCACCAGCTGTGCTCCCCCAGACCTCCAGATGAACTGTTTGGTGCTCCCCAGAGCCTGCAGTCTCCAGAGCACTGGAGAAGGGGCTTTCTGCTCTGCCGCAGGGGGGAGTGCAGACTCCTGTGTGAGACATTCATTTTGAATTGAATTACGCCTGAGCTTCTCTTTCTCAGTGGCAGAGGAGGGAATCTGACAGGTAATCTGTCACTCTGCTCTGGCCCAGGGCTAAGGGTACCATTAGGGGGAGGTGCAGTTCACAAGGGCAGAAAGTGAGAGTCCCAGTGTCCTGTCCTGTGCACTGTGAGAGCCTGTGGGGGACTGTGGCCAGCTGACCCTTCCTGTGCCCAGTGGTCCTTTCCCTGGGACTGGTCCCTGTGGCACTAGGAAAGGGCTCATGTGACAGAATCTCTCTGCAGCCTGGGGGAGAATGGCTTGGGGTCAGCACTACGAGTAAGAAGTTTGGTGAGGACTCCAGATGTTGGATGTGTCTGTTAGCAGTGAAGTTGGATAGGCCTCACTTAGCCCTGCAGAAGGAGGAGTCAGGAGATCTCAGGACAGAGTGTTACTGAGAATTCCTTGGGTTACAGAAGTTACAGAAAAAGTTACAAAAGTGCAAACCAAGCCATCTGGAGCATGAAGAAGAATGTACTGATCTGCGTAGCAGGAGGCCCAGAGAGGCTGAGGCTCAGGCACGGCCTCTAGCAGGAGAGATGATGACACTGTAGTTCAGACTGGCCTTGAGCTCACTGTGTAGCTGAGGTCAACCTTAAATGTGTGGGTCTCCTCTTGCTCAGCCTTCCAAGTGCTGAGATTACAGATGTGCACCACCACGCCCGAGCTCTGGGACTCTGGCTTTAATTTTGGTGCTTAGCTGTGTTTCTCCCTCCTGCTTGGCTTTCTTTTCTACAAGGCATTAGTTGTGCACAGTGAGAAGGATGGCTAGGGAGAGCTGCAGGTGAGTGCCACCCCCTCCTACACTGCCAAGGAAGAGCGACCCTCAGGGTCTCAGCCCTCGCACACTAACTGGTGAGCGAGTTCCTGCTGACCTTGCCTGAGTCCACTGTCTTCCCGTGTAAGTTACTTGGTTAGGAGAAAGGGATAACAGGACCTCCAGCCTCCTGGCTACAGTACCACAACAGCAGTAGTGCTGACCCCCACAGGGGACATTTTCTTATAGGGAAGTAGGCCAGCAGGCAGACAGAATAGCAGCCGACTGTGACAGAAATGGTCAGTGTACCCTCCAGTGCTAGAGTGCTGGTGGCCCTGCCTCCTGTTGACACATCTGTCCCACCCAGCTGCCCCACCACCACATGTCAGAGCCTGTCTTCAGGAAGCTGGTGGAGGACAAGCTAGGCCAATCCCGGAGCCAGCTTCGTTCCTTTCGAGAGAACTTCGAGAAAGTGCTGCCACCTCCCTCATCACAAGTAAGTATCCCGCTGCCCCCCTCCATCTGCCTTGGAGTGAGGCTGGCCGCTCTCTTCTGCTCCTATATCATTGGTTACCCGCAGAAACATTTCCTCTCCCCCATCTCTTTTCTACCAGCTGGGCTTAGGTGGGTTGAAAACTCTGGCCTGCCCCTTCCTGGTCAGTAAGCACAGACAGCACAGCACTCTTGGCTCAAGAGTAAGAAGATCCAAATATTTTATTGTGACAGAGAAATTAGACAAAAGGATGGGCAAGTGGTGTGGACATCCAAGAATCTAGAACTTCCTCACACATTTCATCAAAATGTTTCACTTTTCCTCTACCTTCCAACACCACTGTCAATACCAGCATACCAAATAAATACTTTGATTACAAAGTCACTTAAGGGCTGGCCTGATAGCTCAGGGGACTAAAGGGCCTGCTTAGGCAGAGCACGGCAGTGGTGGGGTTTCAATCCCCCAGCATGCTGTACCAGCCCCACCTGTGGGGTGCGCTGAGACAGCTAGTGAGACTGGGCATGGTGGTGCGTGCCTTAATCCCAGCACTTGGGATGCTAAAAACAGAAGAATCACTGTGAGTCCAATCTACATAGTGAGACCCTGTAGACCCTGTCCTAAACACAGAAAAAAAAAAAAAGTCATTTAATTTTTTCTTTTGATACGGTATTTTTAAATTGCAAGTGATAATATAGCACCTGCATATGGTTTATAAATCTTTGGCTGGCCGGTTTTTTTTTTTTTTTTTTTTTTTTAAAGTACTTTCCTTTAAAACACTTTAGGGCCGGGGAGATAGCTCAGTAGAATAAGCTCTTGCCTGGCAAGCGCAAGGTCCTGAGTTTAATCCCCGGTACCGAAAAAAACCCCAAAAAACAACAACCACAAAAAAATAAAACACTGTAGAAAGAGGCTAGGCCTGATGGTGCATGCCTGTAATGGCAGCCCTCAGGCGCCTAAGGCAGGAGAACTGCTGTGAGTTTGAGGCCACGGTGGGCTACAAAGTGAGTTGAAGGCCAGCCTGAATCACATAGTGAGACCTTGTTTCAAAAAGACAAATTAATGAAAGAGCATACTCTAGTCTACCCAAAAGGGACACCAGGGTGGTGTGTGTAGTTTTGGGGTTTAAGGGTTTCTTTTTTGTTTGTTGGTTTCTTTGGGGGGGGGGATGGGGATTGTGTTTTTGTTCTGGTACTGGGTGTTGAACTCAGGACTACTTCTTCAGCTATTTTTACTTTTTTTTTTTTTTTTTCCAGATAGGTCTTGCTAAGCTTGAGGCTGGCCTCTAACTTGAGATACTGCTGCCTCAGCTTCCCAAGTCTCTGGGATTGCAGAGGTGTATCACTTGGTGCTGTAAAAATAACCAAAGCATGGGGCCGGGGAGAAGCAAGTGCAAGGGCCTGAGTTCAATCCCCAGTTCCGCCAAAAAAAAAAAA